GCGAAGTGGAGGGGGTCAATTGGGGGGGGGAATGGGACACCTGTAATACTCTCAACAATAAAGATATATTTAAAAAAAAATTTTTTTAATTAAAAAAATAAACACGCAAAGACCATACAAAAATTACTACACGCTTTTTACTTGTATATCTATGCAGTTAAGAGCATAAAAGTCGTCTGGAAGGACATACACCAAACTGTTAACAGAGATCAATCACCTCTAGAGAAGGAAATAAAGGACTAAGTCTGGGAACTACTACTGAACTTGATTCAAGAACGTTCTGGAATATTACCGCGCACTCAAAAATAATTTTAAAATGCTGACAAACCAAGGCATTGTTCTGGCCACAATGGCCAGAAGAATATACCTAAGAAACTAACAGTAAAGGTAGAGCAAGATCCCTACCGTACAGGACAAGGCCTGACAAGCTAGCCCAATAATCGCCTCTCCCCCTGAGTTCCCATAGAAAGAACAAACCAGTCACACTCCGGCCAAGCATAACCCCATTACTCATTGTAAGACATTGTGTCTAAATGGTTCCTTTTGTGTTACTAAAGGTCCCCCCTTATTTCCTATACCAAAAGCTAACAGCTGACAAATTATTGGAAACCCCTTTACTGCAATGCCTTTGTGGTTACTGAGCATAAAGTAAGAGAAGAACTGAGGGTCAGGGCTGCAGTTCCGCTCTTACATGGGTGAGACGCGGCAACTGTAGCCGCTGGCCAGCCAATAAAGGCTCCAAAATTCAAACACAAACTCTGGTGGTCGTCTGTCGGGGGTCACCCCAGAACAGCATGAGCCTCCAGGCCCTAACTTTCAGGGCCCCTCATCCGATGCAGTCCTTCCCTCCCTGGCGCCCCTCGAGCAGGCTCCCAAGCGCAGACCTGGTCCCCCCAAAAATCCAGGCCAGCGGCAAGGATGCCGCACTCACCAGACACGGGTGAAGGATCCCTCTTGGGCTGCAGGCGACTGGTCTGGGGCAGGAATGGGTTGTTGAGCCTGCGGGAAGCGGCAGGGTTAGGAAGAAACCGGGCCCTGGGCCGCCCCCCGGCCCGGCCCGCGCGCCACGCGAGGCTGCTCACCCGAACGTGTTGGGCTCCTCCACGACCTTCATCTTGGTGGCGCCTGCGAACGCGGGCCCTGTGGGAACGGGGCGT